ATATGGAATATCTGAGACGAAAATGACTTCAACAAACTACCGTATTACCTAGTACTGACTGAAGGTAAAAGCAGACTACCTGAGTTTGATGGTTAGGCAAGCTGTGCAGGTATAAGAAGTGCATGCGTAAAAGGCATTTGTAATTAACTTGATGTTGATCGGAGCTGAAATGCCATTCCTTGGAATCGACTATGGACGGAGACAGCTGAATTGTAGTGTTTTTCTTAGGATGTACAAATAATTCAGGGAGAATAAACAAAATTAAAAAACTGTTTTATATCTCATAAAAATTCCACTAAGAACAATAACGCAGCAAACAGCTGTTTTATGCTAAATTTGAAACCTATAAAAACGTTGTTGTAGGCTGCAGCTTTGCTGCTTTGCTCTCGATGATATCAACTGGATGTTAACTAATCAATTTACAAAATTTGGCAACCAAATCCTTGTCTCGTTACTTCGCATTGAGCAATATTTTAAACTCTTCCATAGCCAATGCCAATTTTCAATCGTTCTTCAAAATCTAGCCCATTGAATTAAGCAAAGTCCATTCAGGACAAATTTTTCTTATGGAAGTATTGGATCTACTAAAGGAAGAGAGCCTTCGTTCGCCTACCTTCGCCCCAGGCAGCGTAACTATGTTGCACTTTAAATGGTTTTGTGAATTAACAAATGAATAAGTGGTGGAATTTGTAACAAGACACTTGTCTCATATCTGTGGTTATTTGAATTGCCATTAACTAGGATAAAACTGTACTCTGAGGCTCTTTTTATTTTCCACAGTATATATAATCCCCTCTTTGGCTTAAAAAAGTGCTCCAGCTACGCTAACAGAGATGAATGAAACTTTACATTAGAAATTTGCTCTGCAGCAGAGCAGGCATAAGCATAGCAGAGGAAAAAGTTACTTGGGGAAGGGAGTAATTCCCATACTAGATGCCATGAACGTCAGTTCTGCTGATTTTTACTCTCTGAAACATGATATTTCGTCATAATTAATAGCCAATCCAAACTGTCAAGGTATCTTGTATTAAACGCACGGAATTTAAAATCTTGTCAGTCTCCTAAGCGATCGACTAATATGGCAGAATTATGCTTTCCCTTTAACACCTTTGCCTTACCATCAAAAGAGGTGTACGAAACGCATGGCCATATCTTATCAACAAGAAGTCTTATTTCTTGTTAAAAATAAAACGGGTTTATTAGTCCATCATTTGTGAAGGCCGAGAAAGGAATGAAACAGTTCCGTGGAAAGTTCATTATAATGGTGTAATTCTAAAAAAACTGTGCACTATAAAATTATGTCAAGCTCGAAAACGACTTTCACCTGTTAGCATAAAGGCAAGGTGGTCATATTCACTCCTCTAGTACGAAGTTAGGGAATCAGTTTAGGAGTAATGCTGCTACTCGCGTGTTATCCAAATTTTAATAAAAATGGACCTTAAAGCAAGCGAATGGTGAAAGATAAAAATCAGCATAATTTATAGCAAATATCTAGTCTTTCTGTGGGCAGAACAATTAAAAATGGAAGTAAGAAGTTCTTTTAACTTCATTTGATCTAACGCACAATTACTGGTGGGAAATATGTAGGTCTGCGAGATTGTTTAATGCAAAACATTGACGGAAGTAACCACTAATTGTTGCCAAATCAATCAAAGGCAGGCATTCTGCTTGACTTCATTCCTGCCAGGGGAATGAAGGAGCCCTGAACGCTCTGGCATTTAATTTAAAAATCGCAAATATTCTTTTTAATCTTTAAAGGAAATTCCAATTAATTTGAATGGCCGATAAATTTTGGAAAATGCAAAACACTTGTTTTGACTGCGCCGCAAAGCGCATTACAATCGCGGTGACACACAAAGCAGAATCGGTGTCTTTGCGGCTCTTAGGGGATGCCTTTTTCTTTAATAAGTTAATGCGATTTAATCAGCTAACGATGATAACACAAGTCTTTTTCCACCCGGTGGATGGGGCGCAGGAGCTGAAAGACCTCTTTGTGTCTCGTAGTGGCTTGGCTACCAACTCGCGGTTACAAAGAGGAATGACCACTTACGAAGAGAAATTCATTAATATTTTATTTTCCAGACCATTTGTATTCTTGTACCAAAATCATATTCTGCTAGCGGAAACCATATTCATCGAAGCTTTTCCCCACATCCATTAAACTCCTCAACCAACACAGAAAAATTTAAATACATTTCACACAAACAATGTTTAAGAGCGCCTTTGGTGGTCGCGGAACTTAAAATAAACAAAATACATTTTTGGTGCCAGTAAATTGGTTTCAATCACAAGTTTTCCGAACTTTGAAACAGGAAATATTCCGATGACTTTTTACTTTTGAAGTATGGTATGTAAGAGTGGCAGTTTTCTACGATGGGCTGCTTTTCAGTCTTCAAGAAGAGCTTCAAATAAAATATTTCAAATGAACTTTAAACCAGTTTATTTAGGTAATTTGAAATTTCGTCTTTCAAAGTTAGTATCTTTAAAAGTACACAGTGCGTAGAATAGCAACTTTGTAATGAAGGATGAAAATGTTCTATGAAAATTTATAACCGTGGATTTGAATATGCAAGTTTACACTTCATTTTAAATTTGGATCAGAGTTTGGTAATAATTGAAGAGATATTGTCCTTTTTGTATCAAAATTGTTCAAAAATTTGAGTTAAATATATCGAGTAGAAATGTTTTAGCAGACTCCTTCTAGATGTCATGATGTTACAGACAGTAAAGAAATAGCATGAGCCTGACACAACTATTCTGAATGGGAAAAATACCATCAATCAGCAAGTTTGGTGTTTTGAGATTAATTCTTATGTTGGAATAATGGTTTTCATTTGTAGAAATTACTTCATGAATGCAAAACTTAAGTAACATTAGGCGAGAATAGGAAGTGTCACTTGGTTTTTTAAAACGTATTTAAGGTAAACCAAAGAAAACTGATCACGAAAGAAGGCATTGTGATTTACTCAAGTTTCCTAAAATGCCTATTTTGATCATGGGAAATGACAGATCTTCCGCGCCTATTCTATGCCATCCCTAATTGCGGTCGTGTTGCTTCGCCCGAATACAGCAATGCAAAACTTCTCCTTTTGAAACAATTTCTGTGCACATTTGGAGGGCTGTTGACCAAAGGAAGAAGAAACAAATGTGATTAGATTTGGCTCACGACTATATTTGTGCGAGGCATTGAGATAATGTTGCCATCGAAGTGCGTATATATCGTCAGAATTTCGTGCCTGTCTCTCTTCAACAGACCTTGTGAAATATACCAATCCATCTGCAAGCTCCGTATAAGTCTCTTTTAATTCCAATTTTATAAGAATGTTTTAGGGAAGAAGTAGTCCCAATTACTTTAATTACACCATTAAGGACGATATTTGTTTCAAAAATAGAAGCGTTCTCACAACACATAACATAAATGGCTACGTATGCTCTCATTTGTAAGTTTCAGATCTAAAAAGCTAAGGTAAATTCTTGGATTAGCTTTTGAAGCTACGGGTTTCGTGAGTCAATAAAAGTGTTGCCAATTTCTCAAAGTCAAAGAGACCAAATTTTTTTAGTGCTAAAACTGGCTTAGATGTATGGTATATCCGTAATCTATCGCCTTGACCGACAGCTAAAAAATTATTAAAACGTGTTTCGGTTCCCTCTGAATGTCGGAAGAGACGCCGTTTATTTGGTTGATGAGCCTAACAAATTGCGCAAACCAAGGGCCGTAGTGGACAGCTTTATCATCAAGTCACTTTCTGTAAAGGTGTAAAAAGTTATGAAGGAGGGCTGCATAAAGGCCCTACCGACAGTCCATAGTGCCAATTTACCCTTTTCTAACACCTTTAATGTTTGCAACTGATCTAGATTTCATGCAG